TCCCCAACTGAAATTGCTCTGTTGCTACTCTGTCTCGTCTCGAACATATACAACGTCATACACTCTCAACACCTGCATACTCTCAACTGCTAATGGCAACACAGGAGCGACTTCAAATGTGAAGTTAATACACCGCTCACATTCAGCACTAAAAAAAAAAAATCCGGTGACTCTCTCACAAGTACAGCAACTAGTGAGATCTGTTCATCGAATTATATCTCTGATAAAATTCTGGTGGGGGAGTACTGTGGCGTAACTACCACTACAAAAGTTTAACATCGTTCACTTGTATATAAAGCATACTAACTTGATTCTATCATGAGGTACCTTTTGATAGATGAAGCTTGGCATGGTCGATTAACTCCGCCCCCCCCCCACATATATATATATGCATAATTTTTTGCAGCTAGATATTTTTTCAAAGTAAGCTGAAACATTTTAATACATAATCATGTCATTTTTTACTTTTATCAAAAATTAGAATTAGAATTTTTTATTTTTGAAGCATTGTTTAAAAATGAATATTAGAACATTTTCGAGATTTTTTATTTTTTGTAACGTAGAGCAAGAAAATAATAGGGATTACGGATTTTTTTAGTTATGTCCCAACCTTAATAATTTTCCACACTTTTCAAAAAAAATAAATAAATAAATGTTTACGGTAATTGAGATGTTCAAAGAAATATAAATTTAGTTTCGGAGTGTGTAGAAGTTATTTGAATTGTTGAATTGTTTTTATTTTTATTAAAACAACGACTTAGAGCCCTCTTGTAAGACAGAGTTACGTACGAATAATGCAGCTTATAAAATGAATAAGCTTTACTATATGATTTCTTGTTTTTGTTACTCACTTTAAGCTATATCAGTATTACATTTTGTAATACACTTTCAGATTTTTTGAACTATATTAAAGTTTACATTTTAAAATACAGTTTCAATTTCAAAACATGAAACAATGATTAGTGTGAAAACCGTTATTATTCTGCTCGTCCAGCATTTTTAGTTTCTTTCTCAATATTTCCATGTTAAATCCAACGCCTTTTGGGATTTGATTGGAATCCTCAAAAATCCCTTTGCGCCGTGAAATATATTGTTTTCAAACACTCCTTTTTTTTTTTGCTGCCGGAGCCAATTGTTTCAGATGAGGATAAAAATGGAAAATATTGATCACAAAGTTTTAAGGGGAAATATAAGAGGCATACAATTCTATTTATAGTCTTAATAACGTATTTTAATAAAACGAAATAACATGTATCTGTATTTCGAGAAAAATTGGATTTTTTCTTTGTCATAATAAAAAACGAAAAAAGACTGCATGGTGAAACAGCTAACTTTATTTTAAGTATATTTATTTAATTTTTATCTTCATGAAAAACAAAGGATTATTTGTGTGCAAGGCAAATAAATAACTATAAAATCAAATCTAAACAAGCTTAAAAGAGGAGTTTCGTAGATAAATAGAACTTATGCATTTCAATAAAATTAAAAATAATTAAAAAATTTGAAAATCAACACCCTATATTCTTATGTGCAATTNATATTTTTCAGTAAAAAAAATCTTGTATTTTTACTTACTACTTATAAGCAGCGTGAAACCTTAAGCTATTCATACATGGTGTTCCATGTTTATTGCCCTTAATATATATTTATGGAATCATTATTGCTCAAAAACACCCAAACTAGGGGATCCAAATAATATTTAAACGAGAAAGAATCAAAAGAGGTATTGAATTATGTCGAATTACCGGTGAAAAGGTTTAATGATAAGCACCAAATCTTTTGACTGATGAAAAATAACGGCATTTATATCAATCTCCTTTCATATTATCTCTTCTTTTCCTGACATTCAAACAGGTTCTGATTCTTTCATGTCTATCTTTCTCAATTGTGATTCGCTAGTTTAATTTTGCTCCGGTTTTCAGCCTCCTCGAAAATTCATTTGTGACCCTATCTGTTACTATATTTCACATTTAATTTTGTTCAGGATTTTAAAAACATACAAAGAAAGTGATCAATACTAAATATCACGCTTTTGACAAAAAAAAATTATTTCCTTACCTAATAATATTCAATCTTATTATTTTTAGAGACACCTGAAAGGAATGCAGACAATAATTTACCTTAAAAATTAAAACACAATGTCTTTCTCTGAGTAATTATAACGTATTTTGATGAAGTTGGAATTTTTAAAGCTCAAGAAACAGGTGTAATCTGTATAATTTAGTTTCAGAACTTTTCAACAAAGGGAAATTTTGTACTCTAAGCAAAATATGCCTAGGTGGTGGTTAGAAAAGAGAAGGGTTTCACAATTTCAAAAGCATCGGAAGGAGGGTGGGGATTTTTGGTCAACATTCCTCCACGTCCACTTTCATTTCTCAGGCAATTTGAAATTCATCTATCGGAAGTTAAGTGAATTTGAAACTGCAACCGCGGAAAGAACCCAATTCCTTCTCAATGGCAGTTTAGAACTTTAACTATTGCGCCATTCGGCTCATACTGAGCATGTATAAGTGCCATTTCCAATCAAGTGTTGTTAGGTTTAGAATATCTCGCGTTATTTGATGTGAAACCTACATTAATTTCTAAAACCTTTGACAGCTTGTACAGTGAAAGAAGTGCCAGTAAATTTGTACTTGTTCCTAAAATATAAGCTTGAATTTCGTGTAAATGAGAAATATTTATTAAGATGGTTTTTTCTAACAAGCGCTAATGTATGAAATAAAGCTTCCGCAACCTTTAAATAGCTATCACTCTCAACAACGTTTGCTTACTTTTGCAATCCCAACTTCTCTTTCATTTCGTTATCAATGTTTCTTAAAGTTTTAAGAGCATATTTGTAACTAATGCAGTTTTTGCTCTGCGTTGGAAATATAACCGTAGCATTATGCAATTTACCAAAAATATAAACTCTACATAACTTACATTTATTTTTACGCAAAGGCAGAATTCATCAAAATAATTACTATAGAGTTGTTTTGAAGAATCAAGCGATGCAGAGCTTCTAAATTTTTTATTTAATTATTTAAAATTTCTAATTTATCAAAAACGGACAGGAAGAAAGAAAGAAAGAAAGAAGGAAATTTTAATCTTTCTTTGATTTTTCGCAATCTTTGAAAACAATATAAATTATTTAGGAGCTTCCGTATTTTTGCAAATTGGATGAAGATAAAATGTTTTCTTGTGAAATCGAGAATAAAAGCCTTACTTTGGGATATCACTACTAACACCCAACCAGTTTTTGACGTAATATTACGCTATATGTTATTTCGTGCTGCTCTGTTTTTAACGTAATATTACGATCCGGTTTAGTCCTCCAAAGCCTTCTAATTTTTGAAGCATCATTTTTTTCTCCACTCTTTGCTGCTGTCTAGAAAATAGCACAGACAATAGCCTGCATTGTAGAAAAGGGAGAAAGGAAAGCAGATAGCATTAAAACTGGCAAGGGGTTAAAGTAAGCGACAAATTTAAACTTAACATAATTGCTAAAAAACTGTAGTTTTCTTGTCTAACTAGTTTCAACATACAGGGTTATTCATAATTCCCTCTATTTACTACAACCTTATGTTTACTACAACTGTCTTCAGTGGTACATGTTACTGCCATCTACCGGCAACTGCTTAAATTAAAACTTGAATACTTTCGGCATAATTTCATATGTTCTTTTTTGCCATATTCGTCTTCGTTTTTTTAGTATAACGCTTCGAAACCCGAGAGGGAATTATGAATAACCCCTTATTCTCATATGACGCTGCTCTTAAAAGTGCATTTTTGCTTAAAACATTCGTTTTTAAATAAATCCTGCAATACAATCATGGCCTTTAATGCAATTTTTAAAATTGTGTCAGAGTAACTTACTTGTTAACAACAGATGCAGAATTAAAAATATTATTAAAATCTAGCACATCTAATAAATTAATCTAGTAAATTAATATCAAGTACAACTACTTCAAAATTGAAGTTCAAATAATTGAATCCAGTTATTTTCTTGAAATTAAGGGGAATTTATTTCAATTAACTATTATATCTTTTTACCTGCAACTTTGACTTCGATCATCTCTAATTGCTATAATATCTCAATAACAATTCGTCAGATTTGTTATATTTTATAATAATTTATAACATCTAATCAGCATATTTTTTAAAATTTATTTTCTGAAAGTATTCTAATGCCATACACGGAGAAAAAAATTCTGGTAAGACTGCCAAACTGCATGGTAATGACATTATGGTAAAAAGGAAAACCCTAATTCTGATTGATAAACCAAAACATACGATATTTTTAAAACCATTCATTTGGATACTTTTCCGTTCATATGATGACGGTTTACCGGAAATTCTCTGTTTTAAAATTATAGTTCTTATTACCCATAGTTCTTATTTCCAGTGAAAGAACACAGAACTGAAAATAAAATGTAACGAAATAAATGATTTTAAAGTCATTCTCAAAAGCATCGGGATTAAATCACTTAATTTTATTATAAAATTCATCACATTTTATAAAACCATATTTTATTGTTAGTTTTACCAACATCCTTACCTACGAGCTGCAGTAAAAATTACCAAACTTTTTGGTATTTCTATAGAACACGAAACAAGGTATATTTTACCATATTCTGGTAATTATGACAATACTTTTTTTCTCAGAGTATATAAAAGGAGGTGATTGGTGAAAATTTAGTGTGTTTAATATAATATAGACCCCCATATGTATATTTAAATTTAATTTTCTTATTCTGAGAATTTGAACAAGATTCTTTTTCAGTGATTCAGAAAATATGACAGAATTTCACGAAGGAATATGTGATAATATGGTGGAATATGATGATGGCTCATTAGATGAAGAACTATCAGAAACAGAATGTGACAGAGATTGCAATAGCTTAAGAAGACAGCGCAAATGTAAGAGATTTTAAACAAAACATTTAAAAGAAATATGCATTTAATATTAATTGTTTTCAAAAAAATTTAAAAAAAATCGTTATTGGTTAAAATTGTTAGTTATAAGTAATAAAAGTTTTTAAATTGTTTTTTCCCTTTAAAAACGCTTAAAATTTAGTTTTTAAATTCAACGAAGAAATATTTTATCCAAATACATATCTAAAAAATGACAAATAAAAATTTTCATTACTAATAATTTTTCATTATTAATGTTTTAAAAAATGTAAAATTTTTTGTGGATTTTAAGATATATCTCTCTATTATTGAGAAACCCTGCTGTCGTGCGAAAAATATCGTTTAATCATGAAAAGGTAAAGTTTAAAAGCAGTAAGTAGTTGAATTTGTGTTTCTATTTTGTTTAATAATGATATATTGTTCGGAGCAATTATATGAAATTTTTCCTTACCTTTTTTCTGTTTATAAGAAAACTAAGATAATATTTCATATTTTTCAAGCTTGATAGCTCAGTACAAGTGTCAAATAAGTAACATAGTCACTTAATACAACGGTTAATTTAGAATCAGAAAGTTACATAGTTGTTTTGCATAACATTTCTTTAGGTTTAAATAAAATCTAATATCACAATATCGATGTACATTAAAGGGAAAAATAATTATTATAAAAAATAATATTTTTCCCCAACTGAAATAAATCAGGCAAAAGAAATTTTTCAAATACGGAACAAATATTTATTGATTCTTAAGAGAAACCATATTTATACATATTATTAATATCGCAGATTGGTATTGCCCTTCTTTTCCTCTAAATGAGCTTCTTAAGTAACTTTTTGTGTTATAACAGATTATAAAATTAAAATAGTTTAACAAAATTAGTTGAGAATTAATATGAACTAATATAAAATAATATACAAAAAAATTTTCTTTCAATCTCTGATATGTTTTATTTCTCAATGCTTGGTAGTACTAGAATAAAAAAGCATTATCTTAGTAACAAAATATAGTTTTTGTTTCAAGTAATTGGATGCTCAATTTAAAGATCTGTCAAAAAATCCATACTAACATCAATTGCAACATTTACCTAGAAAAAAAAATATGTCTGATTCATTAAGTTTGAAAATAAATTTTTACCAATGACAGTTATATTTTATGCTACTTTAGATTGCTAAGATCGTAAAATATTGCCCATTTGGATGTTATATTGCTCTCTAAAGTAGGAAAAAACGCAGTTTGTTACTTTGAAAGTACAAAATAAATCCTTTTCCTATTTATCTTTTGATAACAAACCATTTGGTCTGAAGGAAACATATATCTTCCATCTGCAGTTTAGTCAGCTTTTAAAAATATTCAAACAATGGAAATTCAGTTTTTATTTAGAAAACTAACCCTTATTAAAGGTTTTTAAAAGGACTTAATTATTGATAAAAATATTAATTTAATTTTGTTTTGAATAAATTTGATTTTCTTAATCAAGAAGCCATTTTACTAGTGCAAATATAAATAAGTAAATCGAAAAAAAAATTTCAAATTAGTGTTTTTTCTTAATAATACATAATTTATATTTAATAATACATAATTTTGAAATGTAATATTTTCACATTTTATTTCTTAGGTTTAAGTGTAACATAAATGGATGGAGTTTCATGTTTCTGCTTGTAAATAAATTAATTAATAGTAATACTCTTACTACACTTACAACGAAAAATGCTAGCATTAATGTTTTTCATGTATCATGGTTTAATGCTGTGATGTTAAAATGATTATGGTACCAGTTATTTACGAAATAGATCATATGATAAATCAAAAAATGAAAATGGAACTCAATTTTAAATGCTCATGGAATAGAAATAGATTCTCTTTAGTGATTCGCTTACCATTGCTCCCATATTGTCGTAAAGAGCCATTTCATAATGTTTTCAGTCTCATATTATACCATAATATTCATTTTAGAACAGACTAAGATTGTGATTTTCCACTTTTAGTAATTAAAACTTGCGGAATGATGTGACAAAAATAAACTCTATACACAGCAAAACTTATGTTTTTCTTTAACAGGGTTATTTTTTTTTTTTGTATTTTTCAGGTGGCAGTATCGATTCGCTTTACTTTTGAAAGAAAAAAATATGTTTTGCTATGTCCTATCGATTTCAAAATGTCTGCTTTTTTGTTATACTTATCAAAACAGAAAGTTTACGGTTCTGAAATAAAGAAAACATTCTCAAGTTATCGAAATTATTTTTTTCCATTCCTTACCAAATTTGCTTACATACTACGACATAAAAAAGATTGTGGTTCAGTCTAATTAATTAATAATTGGTATTCGATAATAAATTTGTAAAAATAAAAAAAAAGGTTTTAATGATATTCTTTGTAGATATTCTTTGACGTGAAGTAATTCAATGCCTATCCCTAACCTATACAAGATTTTCATACTTCTTAAGATTAATTTTGAAAATAGTGTCCTTAATCATTGAAGTGTTTTAACGTTAACATCACATTTTTTCTTCTTGCCAGTAAATTGTACAGTAATTTTGTGCTGTGTAGCTCACGTTTGACCTTGTAATTTATTTGACCAATCGCGCTGTTGCTCACGTTGAAATTTCCATGACTTATTAATGTGGTTCTAGAGTGCTAAATGTTGAAGACCCCTAACTTAAATTATTTTTACATGTTTTGTCTATATATAAGTTAACAAATTTAAGAAATCTATCTATTTCAGAAAAATAAATTTAAATCCTCAATGCTTATAAAAATTATATATATATTTTTAAAATTAAATGAAAAAATTTGAATTTCATAGATAATATATTTTTAGTGTATAGTTGGAGTTTAAATTTTTACTTCTGGCAAAATCTGCATTTCTGTAATGTTACTTCTGTAATGTTCACTTTCTTTAGCAACAATTCTTTTTTGCTGACAGTATATATTTAAAAGATTTAAATGAATACATATTTAAAAAGGAATAAATTTTATCCATTCTTTTTGAAAAGAAGCGAGTATTAAACTTCCATTTAAAGCTTAAGAAATTAAATATTAACTTGATCTTAAAATCAATTCATTCTTCCATATATCCAAAGAATCACTTTAAAAATACATTTAAACTCGTTCTTTAAACCTCTCGAGCTTTAAAGAACTTTGAAAAAAAATAAATATAAAACTTAAATATAAAACTTAATATTCAGGGAAGTAAAAGAAAATTTACATTTTATCATCTTCTTCTACAAAATCTATTGACGACCGACATAAAGTATAAAACCAGGAAAAAAATATAATCCAGTAGATATTGATTCAGGAAAAATATGATTCCCTTAGACAGGCGTGTCCCTATTCGCAATTTTTTGTTCCTCTACATTTTGCTGAATTCAAGAATTCGTCAGTGATGTAGAGAACTTGAAAGATAAGACGTCCAATTTCGTTCTAATCTACTTTTCTAGGCAATCTATCAAAGGACGGGCAATTCCTTCTTTATTCTTTCTTTTTTTTCGTTTAACCATTCTTTTTTTTTTTTTTTGTAACGCCAAAAAGAATTCTCTTTGATGTAACGTCATGCTTATTTCGTCAGGAAAATCGGTAGAATCTGCGATTCTCGAATCCTGTTACGGCTACTCTTATTTCCTACTTGTAACGAGAGATTGAATCTATGCCTTTAAATCTAATAGAAAAAGACGAGCCGCTTGTCTTCTTCTTTAGACTTAAAGATGCTTTTTACTTATTTCCTCCACGGAAAAATAAACTTGGTAAAACTGAGGTCTAGGTCTGATTTTTCTCAATTGCCTCTTTTGTAGGAAATAAGGTTAAATGGATTTCTGGTAAAGTTTGTCAATCTATTTGATATGAATGCTTAATTTTAGTTGTATTTTTAATGGATTGTATAAATGTTTTTTTGAATTTTGATAATCAATTGAAAATTTAGCACATACTTTTCTTTTAAAAATCCAAGTTTACTTGATAGCATTTTTTTTTTAAAAGTACTTCTTGTAAAAATATAAATAAGCAATTTTGTATACAATTTAAGTTGATAAATGATCGTAATTTTCTCAAAAACAAATTTGGAAATTTTCAGATTTCTTTTAAATTTTTTAATAGAAATCTACTATAGCATAGCGTTAGTAGATAGACTTATTCAACAATTTACTTGTTTGTCAACATACCATTAAACTAAGAGTTATACATTTTATATCTTATATATCGTGAAATGAAATTAACACAATGACGCGTAATCTTTCTTGCTATCTAATACAATCATTTTCATTTTCTCTTTTTTCTTGATGCAATGATTAATTTTTTATACTATAATACGTTATAAGCATACCAAAAAATGTGCATGTTTGATTTGTTGGTATTGTACAAAACAATGTTTGTGATTATTAAGTGTATTTCATACTTTGGCTCTAATAGATGTTAAAAGTAAATAACAATAAATATTACACCGGTGTTCCTTTTATACATCATTTTCTGACACTCTAATTACAAGCAAAAATATGGTTTGGATTTATTTTTTAATTATAAAAAAACAGTCTATTAGTTGTTAAAAAATCAGTTACATTATCGGTATTATGTTTGTACAAAAATATAAAATCAGAAAACAGTAGTTTGAATTTTTTTCACGAACATTCAAAAATTTATTAACATTTGATTTATAAATTAAAGTAATTTCATTGATGAATAACTGCTTCACATAAGGCTAAATAACTTCAAATAAGTATAAATTTGAGAGAAAATTATTGATTAGAAGTAAGTCGTTTCAGGAAGATTTTACCTATAAAGCTCAAAAGGACATTTTTGTTTCATGCTGTATTTCATTACTATAAGCTAATAACTATAAGCTATTGAAAGTGAATAAAAAAAGCAAAAAATATATTATTTTTCACTTTTTTTAATCACTTTCGCTGAATGAGTGAATTATATGTTAAAAACATTCTGTGTCAAAGGGTTTAAAATCCTTCTATTTAATTTAATTTTGAAAATGAATGGCATATGATAAGAAACTGCGATTGTAGTTCTTTTGAAAAAGTACTATCATGTCAAAATGATGTTTCTAAAAACAAACATTTATCTACACTACACAATCTAAAATCCTTTTTTTAAAATTTAATTTTGAAACTGAATGGCGCATGAAAAGAAACTGCGACAGTAGTTCTTTTGAAAAAGTACTATCATGTCAAAATGATGTTTCTAAAAACAAACATTTATCTACACTACATAATCTAAAATCCTTNAAAAGTAAATAACAATAAATATTACACCGGTGTTCCTTTTATACATCATTTTCTGACACTCTAATTACAAGCAAAAATATGGTTTGGATTTATTTTTTAATTATAAAAAAACAGTCTATTAGTTGTTAAAAAATCAGTTACATTATCGGTATTATGTTTGTACAAAAATATAAAATCAGAAAACAGTAGTTTGAATTTTTTTCATGAACATTCAAAAATTTATTAATATTTGATTTATAAATTAAAGTATTTCATTGATGAATAACTGCTTCACTTAAGGCTAAATAACTTCAAATAAGTGTAAATTTTAAAGAAAATTATTGATTAGAAGTAAGTCGCTTCAGGAAGATTTTTTGTTTCATGCTGTATTTCATTACTATAAGCTAATAACTATAAGCTATTGAAAGTGAATAAAAAAAGCAAAAAATACAATATTTTTCACTTTTTTTATTCTCTTTCGCTGAAAGAATGAATTATATGTTAAAAACGTTCTGTGTCAAAGGGTTAAAATCTTTCTATTTAATTTAATTTTGAAAATGAATGGCTTTTAAAAAAGTACTATCATGTCAAAATGATGTTTCTAAAAACAAACATTTATCTACACTACACAATCTAAAATCCTTTTTTTTAAATTTAATTTTGAAACTGAATGGCGCATGAAAAGAAACTGCGACAGTAGTTCTTTTGAAAAAGTACTATCATGTCAAAATGATGTTTCTAAAAACAAACATTTATCTACACTACATAATCTACAAGAATGTAAAATCTGCTGGTTCATCATATATTTTTATTTTTAGGAATTCTTGTGAATCATACTGAAAAAAAAAAACATTTTGTTTGCTTTGTGTCTGAATATTATAATTATATTATAAAAAATATATAATTGTTATACCCGTAGCTTCAATTAATAGAAACAGTGTTTTATTTCAATTCTTATATATAAAAGCAAATCCATAATTTATTAAACTATTTATTACCTTTCTTTTACTTAGATATTGCAAGAAGTTATAGCAGAGTAGGAGCAGTCATCGCCTGCTGAAACTGCGATAAAAACATTTATCCTGAAAATTTGAAAATGTTGCATTGAAGCTTACAGATTAAGTACCATTGTCATTGCTACATTGTAATAAACTGAGTGCAATTTTTTAAGAAAATAGTAATTTTTCATATAGTAACCAATTATTGTTTTTGTGCAAGACAATTTTGTACAAAAATTATTTGGTCTGAATGATCCATAGAGTTGATTAATGATATTTTACAAACATTAATGATGCCTATTGCTGCGTACACATCGAAAACATAGTAAAATCATTAACGTAGCAATTTCATTTGGTCAAAAATATATAAAATAACTAACCATTTGAAAAAAAAGAGCCTTAATAGTTCTGTTATTCTTTTAAATGTTCCTAAACCCTATTTATTTGGAGTATTAAATGCGCTGAAATAAATTCAGATTCTCGCATTCCTTACAAGTATGTAAAATTATTTTATTTATCCTTACCATGAGCAATTATTTTATTTATCCTTGCTTTTAGCAATTATTTTATTTATCCTTGCTATATGCCTTTTACGATCTGATGCATAATTACTTAACATGAAAAACAACTGCGAAAAAAGTTGTAATGTTACTTTTTACCATAATTTGAACTCGAATTGTGTCAGTGTACATTTACAAAAATGATGTCTGATCTTAAATATTAATTCTTTGTCTTCACAAAATATATCGTTAACTTGTAGACAAATCTCGCATTGCTTTAACAAATTAAAGTAAAACTTTGAATTAAAGTCCTTTTAATGCAAATTTCTTAGCCTCGAAAATCTTAATTTAATTATGTAGATTATTTGAATTAAAAAAGAGTAGTTTAAAGACAACACACGAAATGCTCAATTTAAAAAGCTACATTTGGTTCATGAAAATGATGTTGTGATTCAATTTTAAAATTGCACTCACTTTGAACAACATTGCTTAATATCGTCCAAATCGATTGAAGTATATGTCAAGTCTTTCAGTATCGGAGGTATTATTCCTCATATCTTCCAGACTTTGTTGAGAATTTATTATCTCTTGAAGAGCTTTTATCAATTTTTGAAAAAAATTCTTTTATATCGTGTTAAAAACACATGATATATGTACAGACCAAAATGTTATGTATAATTAAATATGCATTGTAAATATAATCATGTTGAATTCTATAAAATGTTCTTTAAAAATATATGTATCAAAATATCGTTCTGCATATTTAAATAAATTCATTTCGAACAATTATTTTATGTTTCTGTGGTTTTATGTCATTCATAAATATATTTAATCTTTTTCGGTAATATTCATAACAATAAGAGACCATAAAACTTAATGAGAGAGTAATGACAGATAATATTTGATAAGATTATAAAAAGATTTGAAATGAATATTAAATCTGCTATAAGACATACGAAACTATTAAACTTTTTTAATAATTTTTATGCACTTTCGATGTCATTTAATTATTTTTGTTTAAATTCAAGCCCATGCAAAATAATGCGCTCACGAATGAAGATCAAATAAGTATAACGATTTATGTCCACGAAAATTGATTATGAGGAAAGAAAGGCGAAAGCACGCAAGCAGGAAAATTTTTTCCACAACACGGTTCACATTCAAGGTGGAATAACTCTCGGGAAGAACTGATTTTCCGGGTTATTAATTTCTCAAGACACAAAACTTCAAAATGCAGCATATGTTTTACCTTCATCATTTCTATGAAAAATGGACATAAATCGTTCTTCCCGTCTTCATCTCCATTATGAGTAATGCCTCGGACATTTGCAAATGGTGTTAATATAAAATATATGAAATGACAATGAAAAATCATAACTTTGGTTACACAAGAAATGATAGGACTAAGTTTTACGAAATTTTGAACATTGAACAGCATTTAGCATCATTGAATTATCAACATGGAGAAAAATTTTAATTGATCCACAATGATGGTACTCGGAATGTTACGTACCAATCAGGATGGATTTTTTTATACATAGATTTTTAGATTCAGAAAATTTATTTTGATTCTTCGACTTTGAAAATTTATTTGATTCTGAAATTCATTTTGTTTATTTCTGAGTGATTGATAACTAATAAATGGAAATTAACATTTTTTACTTTGCCTGCGTCACAAAGTTTTATTTGTTCAATTGGCGAACAAATATGTTGACTACAAGAAGTTGTAATAGTTTAACACTTTTCACCGTTACCCGAAACTCTGATATCTGTTTTTCAAATAATTGAAACCAGAATTGTCATATTTCTAGTTTCAATCATTTGAATGAGGGGATATGCTGTCATTTTTTCACATTGATTTGTGTTATAAATTACAAAGTTCCTGCATAACCTTGCATCTTATTAGTATTTATCTAAGTAAAAATTTAGTTGATACATTATGAATTTAACAAGAAAGTGTTGAAATCTATTATTTTTTTTTTAAATTTTAGCCTATAGAAAAATATTATGTGCAATAATTATGACATATGTGAATGATGTTAATATGAAAGATATGAAATGACAATGAAAACTCATAATACGGTAATACAGAAGTCAATTTTTCAGTCCACTTTTCATATTTCCCAATTTTTTATTAATTTTCAAGGAATTAAGCGCGTTATTTCTCGGTGGGAAAGTATTTAATTCCGAAGTTGTCTAGGATTTCTGGTTAATTAGTGACAAACAAATTAATAATGAACACTATTAAGCAAATTAATTTCGTCTTATAAAGATGTTTCTGAAAGTGTTATTTACCGATCGGATGTGGAGTTTTGGCAGATAGATTTTTAGGTTCGTATATCATATTAAATATATTTTTTCCCATTTTGAAGTAATTAATTTACATATTTTATAGATTATAAAAAATTATTGATTTATTTTTTAATTTACAGATTTATAGATTTTATATGTTAATTTATAGATTTATAGATTTTATATATTAATTTATAGATTTACAGATTAATTTATTATAGATTATTTATAGATTAATTTAACAATTTAAAAAAAAAATCACAAATTTTACCCTGATATATAGCCGAAATATATATGCATTTTAAAGGTGAACTGCAATGTTAACTGTAAAAAGTTACATTAGTTAAAGACTTTTCTTCTCAGGCGACAGTTCTAATTCTTGCTGTTAAAAATGGTGGAGATGAAGGATTTAATTTCAAAATTAGAAAATAGGTTATAAATATCCTACTGTTACAAATTACTATATCTGAACATAGTTCTGCATTTTATATTTTTCTAATGAATATTTATTTGCTCTATTAGAAATCTAAGAAGAAATCAGTGTATTAATTTTTTTAAGTATCAGAAACGAGCATCTTTCATCTGTATTCTTGACAGCATGCTTGACGAAATTTTAGTGAATTATAGCTTTTTTCAAAGTTCATATTTTTGATGTCTTTGTCTTTGGAACAAGGCAAAATAGTCAAGAAAGTGCATATGCATTATTTCCTTAAAAAATGAAATAAATGCAATTAATAAACAATGAAATAAAATAAAATAATTGTAATAAATATTGGCTTGCTGTGTTGATGACACTTCAGATACCTTAGATTTTTAGATAGACTTAGTTAAACTTGATAAATAGACGTAGATTTTTATATAGTTACCTTTATAGACTTTGATAAACTTGATAGATAGACGTAGATTTTTATATAGTTACCTTAGATGGACTTTCTTAAAGATAGATTTTTTTAAGATGGATTAGATGAAAGAGATAGATTATTAGATTTCAAGACAGAATTTTAAGATAGAATAGATTTTATGATATGTTAAGATGGAATACTTAGATATTTTTAAACTTTATCGACTTGCTTTCCGAGTTACACAATTATTACTCATTTGATTTAATGATTATTATATTTTTAATCTCTGTCACTTTTAAAAGAATCCAAATACGTAGCCTTGAAGTATTGCTATTTTCTTGAATACTCGCGATCATAATTTTTACCTTTTTCAGAACCTTGATGAGTTACACTACAGCTAAAAATATAATTTCTAGGACTAAAAGATGTATGAACATGAGTTAAAAAAATGTAAACTGCCAAAATATTAATAAAAATCTAAACTTTGAACTATTTCAATCTGTAATTTCATTTGAAACACAAATCAATAATGTGTGTTATCATAATAAATGCAACCTGCACTAAACTGTAAAAAATTCCGGGTGTAAGAAAATCGTGAAACAACTGAGTTGTAAACAACATTTTAAAAACAATTTCCGAAATTTAAATGCGAATTTGATTAAAGTTCTTTAATATAATTAAGGAAAGTTATTCCAGCATGAATGCATTGTTCATTTTCAGAGATATTTTTCGAAACGACATATTTTCATAAACTGACTAAAAATAGCATACCTTCAAGTTAAAGTTATGAGTTAAACAAGTTAACTGATGCATGCAAGTTAAAGTTGGTAAGGTTATAACTCTTCCGTAAATTTGAATATTTTCATTTAACTGTAGCAAAAAATTTCTATCAACCCATCTACTTAAACAAACATTTTGTGCCTTATCATTACCTCAGAAAGAATATAATTTTCTTAAACTGATTTATCCTTGTCTAGTGACTCCAGAAGACGATTTTCATCTTTAAACCTTAATAATTTACGAAGATATAAAATAACTGGCTGTAATTTTTCTCCAACAATACAGTTATTTGAACATAATAATAATTCAAATAAGGTGGAATTGATGTTTTGTAACCTTCTGAGCCGAATTATTCTATCAGCATGAATGATGAGAAGACGAAGAAAAGAGTAAGAAATGGAATAAAAATGAAGAAAAACTAAATCGGGTGCTCTCCGGCGTGAAATGGTGTAAAATAATGAAACGCACTTTTCTTTAGGTGAAAAATGCGATGAGATGGGAACCGTCTTCAAATGGAGTTTGAGAAATAGAGTGATTGAATAAAAGTATTTTAGCTCGATTCTAATGGTATAAAAAGGATTATAATATTTCATTTTAATGAAATAAAAGAATTCTGAGATATTTTTTAATTTAATAAGAATATTTAAGTGTTGTGAGTTTATGTTCGTTTGGTGTTGTTAATGACTCAAATGTTTTAGGATAGTTCAAAATAGGGCAGTGACTTTTTTAAAATTGGAAGTTAGATTGTTTCACAATTAATACTACACCTTTTTATAATAATTCCTTTAGTTCAAACAGAAAAGCTTTTCGAATTGTTTTGGGATAGCTCAAAATAGGGAGAGGACTTTTTTAAAATTGGAAGTAATTTTTTTTCACAATTAATACTGCACCTTTTTATAACAATTCATTTAACTCAAACAGAAAGCTTTTTTACTTGTTTTGGGATAGCTCAAAATAGGAGATGACTTTTTTAAAATTGGAAGTTAGTTTGCTTCACAATTAATACTACACCTTTTTGTAATAATTCCTTTAACTCAAACCGAAAAGCTTTTTTAATTGGTTTGGGATAGCTCAAAATAAGGAGGAGATTTTTTTTTTTAAAATTGGAAATTAGTTTGTTTCACAATTAATACTACACTTTTTTATAATATTTCCTTTAGTTCAAACAGAAAAGCTTTTTAAATTGCTTTGGGAAAGCTCAAAATAGGGAAGTGACTCTTTTTGAAATTGGAAGTTATTTTTTTTCACAATGAATACTACACTTTCTTATAACAATTCATTGAACTCAAATAGAAAGCTTTTTTGAAATTGGAAGTTTTGCTTCACAATTAATACTACACCTTTTTTAATAATTCCTTTAGCTCAAACAGAAAAGCTTTTTTATTTGTTTTGGGATAGCTCAAAATATGGAGGGGATTTTTTTTTAAAATTGGAAATTAGTTTGTTTCACAATTAATACTGCACCTCACAATTAATGCACCAATTAATACTCACAATTAATACTGCAATTAATACTGCACCTCATCGCTATTTTCCTTTAGTTCAAACAGAAAAGATTTTTGAATTGCTTTGGGAATGCTCAAAACAGGGAGGTGACTTTTTTTAAAATTGGAAGTTAGTTTGTTTCAAAATTATTACTACACCTTTTTATAATAATTTCTTTAATTCAAAAAAAAGCCTTCTTAAAATTTATAAATTCATGTAATTGGAAAAATAATTGTTCTTAGCATTTTATTTATCATTGTTCCGCTTGTGATGTAAATTAAAACATTAATTAAGAAAAAACGAGTTCAATTATTATTCGAATATACTGTAATAAATGAAGAATTTGAAACTACACTATTATAATATTTATACGAACATGCATAAAAATTA